CCCCCCGAGCTTTTCTCTTTACCAAGCCCCCCGCTCTCCGCCCAATCTGCACACATCGTGCTTCCCGAAAGACACAGGCACACCCAGGCACACGCCTACGCACACCCACTCGCCACTCACAGCACTTCAGTAGCTATGACTGCGCCTTGGCCAACAGCAGCTGGGCGCTCAGGCCCGAACGCATCCTCGCGCACGGAGCCCCGGCACTCAGCAGGCTTCTATAATCAGCCCGCAGACGCTGCCGCTCAGGCCCACCCTCGCCCAACCCACGCCAATGCACGCGTGCCCGGCAACTCACGGGCCTCGCGGGCGGACAGCTGCAGCTGCGTCTCGTAGGTGCAGGCGCGGTAGGCCCCGGAGCGGAGCACCTTGCTGCGGATGGCCTTCTTGCGCACCAGCGTGGGCGAGCAGTACGGGTTCCCTAGGCGCGCGTGGCGGGCGCCCACGCGGCTCCCTGACTCCAGCAGCTCCTTCTAGGGAGGGCCCCGCAGGGGCGCCCAGACTCAGGCCCGCCCGGCCATAGCCCCTCCCACGGAAATCCGGCACCCGCCCCCCTCGACCTCCAAACCCTCGCCCCGTCCCCCGTCCCCTGCCCACTCCCTGGCTGGGGTGCTGCATACCCCGCTGCCCCCAGACGCCTCTGCCGGCAGCCGCCGGAAGGAGACCAGCGCGTCAACGTTCTGTGAGAGCTGATCCCGGCCGAAGGGTTCCCGTACTAGGCCAGGGGGGTGCTCGGGGCCGGACCCCAGCTTCAGCGGCACGTCCCCCACAGTGCTCGGGCGTGGCTCGGGCCGCGCCCGCTCCTCCGGGTGCTGCAGCAGGTAAGCGAGCTGGAAGGAGCGGCAGAGCAGCAGGTGAAGGATCTGGACCTGGGGACGGAGGGGGAGGTGCGCTCAGCCGGGAGGCTCCTGGGGGATCCCTGGGCATCAACCCACGGGCCAGGGGTGCCTGCAGCCCCCTGGCTCGACGTGCTCTTCCCTATTCTTCCTGAGAAAACGAGTACTTAGCCCTCAAAACCTCACCACCATGCAGCCTCCCCTCCCATCTTCCTTGATTCATTTAACAAACAGGGAGCGTCTCCTTTGTTCCAGGCATCGTGCTTGGAGCTGGGAATACATGGGCTAAATGCACTGCTAGCCCTCAGTTACTAACCCCACCTATATCCTCTTAGAGGCATGGCTGAGAGTCCAGGCCCTGAAGTCATAGGACCTGGGATCTGATCCTGGCCCTGTCACATAGGAACTGCTGGGTGACCCCTGGGAACAACATGGAGTCTCTGTGCCCCTTTAACGACATGGACCACAGGAAACCCCCCCCTCCCCCGCCCAGGGCAGGCTCAGCACTCTGAGACCTGCACGTTCAATCCATCACACAGGCAGCATCTAGCCCCAACATGGAACTGTGAGCTCCAAAAGTTCAAGGGTCATGGCTTGGCCACCCGTAACCCCAGTAGCCACACAGGGCTCAACACACAGGGGGGACGGCAAAGGCCTGCTGCCTGGAACCAAGCCCAGGCCCTGCTGCCCAAACGGCCGGCTGCCCCGGCTCTGCTGTTAGCAGCGGTCACACTGGCTTTGACTTTTAGGATCCACCCGTCCATCCTCTCTCCCCACAGGGCCAAGCAACAGAACAGTTCAAGACCCAGACCCAGCCTCTGCACTCAAAGAATTCCAGTAACTGCAGTGAGGGACAGACAGATGGCAGAGTGCAGTTCAGGTCACAGGATGGCAGAAGGCGGGGTGGTCTGGAGGATTCAAGCCGGGCTGAACCTCAAAGGGCAAGCTGGAATTTGCCAGGATGAGGAGGGGGAGGGGCGTGGAGGCAGGCAGAACAGCAAGGACGAAGGCCTGGCAGTGTGAGCCTCCCGGCCTGCTGCCCATCTCCCAGCCCGAGGCATGCTGAGTCCACTGACTCACACTGGGGGGTTCCTCCGAAGGCAGAGCCACGAAGGAGCCAGGGTGACGAGGGGTGCAGGCCAGGGGGTGGGGGTGCTCAGGCCAGCTCGCTGAGCCAGCCATGGCCTCGGTCCCTGGGACCCATGTGAATGCACAGCACACCGCGCCACCCCCCCCCAGCCCCAGTGCTGGGACTCTGCCCTGGGCCCCGGGTACCTCCCCAGGCTGGCTGCCCACAAAGAGGTGGCAGAAGAGCTTGCTGGCTGGGCTCCTGGGGTTTCGGGCCATGAAGGCAAACTGGCAGTCGGCTGGGCACCAGGTGGCATAGAGGATGCGCTTCAGGGCGTGAGCCATCAGGAGCACCTGGGAGGCAGCAAGCCCGCGGACTCCATCAGACCCACCACGTGGCTGCAGATGCCGGTCAGCGCGCAGCCCCGCCGGCGCCACACCCCGGCCGGCGGCGTCGCGGGTCTGCCCTCCAGCCTGGGTGCCCAGCTGGGGGCCCACCCAGCTCCTGGGACGAAGAACTCTGCCCTCCTTCCAGGCCTGCCCAAACTACGCTTCCCATGGGCACCCTCATCCTTTACACGGACCCTGAGCTCGGGGCCCCTGCCCTGGGCTGCCAACCAGCTGACCGGGGTGGTCGTGCTGGGTCATGGAGCCGAGGGGCAGAGCGTTCACGGCCTGCAGGGTCACAGGGCCAGGCAGTAGTGGCCGGCCCCGGGCTTGCACTCCTGGTCTCTGGAGTCAGGTGACCAGGGTTCGAATCCGGACTGTGTCACTCACTCTCCGGTGCCTTGGGCAGCTGAACACAGCTCTCTGAGCCCTTGCTGGGACGGGTGTTAAGGAGGGACGGGACCCCTCCGATGGGGCCGTCGGAGGGCGTCAGTGAGACCTCGTGCAGGTGGTACGGGTACTGACCCCAGGGCCCCCACCGTGCCAGCTCTGGACACATCGGCACCACCTCGTAGGAGAGCTTGGTGCCAAGTCGTGGGGCACCTCGCCTGGCACACAGGGCTGGAGTTCATTTTTTTGGGCTGGTTTTTCACCAAGAGGAGGATGGGTGACCAAACAGGGGTTCCCAGCCCGCCTCCAGCCTGCCTGGCCCTATTCCACAATCATGAGACGCTGGCCACAGCCCCCCTGGCCCAGCCTGGGGACCGGCCCAGACCTCATGAGGTCGGCTGGGCCTGACGCTCAGGCTAGGAGCTGGTCCCTGGAGATTCTAGGGCTGGAGGCAGGGAGTGGGGTGGGGTGGGGTGGGGAGAAACTAGGGAGAGGGCCCTTGGAGAGAGGACGTCCAAAGGCCCAGGGCAGGCTGAGAAACCGGGGAGGCTGCAGGGCTGGGCAGAGGCGTGTCCCCGGGGAGCAGGACACCCGGGGGGTCCTCACCTGCACCCCCCGCCCCCAGCAGGCTCCTACCTCGCCCTCCCCGCTGTAGATCTTGAGGCCCTGAAGGCTGAATTTCAGGATGACGGCCCGGCGACGGGGACAGTCCTGGGTGGGAGAGAGTGAGTGGGGGGCAACGTCACCACCCAGCCTGCCCAGCCTGGCCTCTGACCCCGGGGCTGGTCAGCAACTCCGCCCCCCTTCCCCACCCCCCCTCCCCTCTCTGCCACAGCTGCCAGGGGGCGGAACCCTGGACGGGGAGTCCCCCGGGGTTGGCCCAGCGTGCATGGCTCCTGGCAGACCAACCCCCAGGCCCGTGATGACCGCCCCCCACATCTCCCACCTGTGGGGCCCAGGTCACGACTGCCGGGGGGAAGGGAGCCTCGGGGCATGAAGAACGTGGCTCCAGGAGCCCGCGTGTGGTCCCAAGGGCGCCCACCTCTCAGAAAGGCTTTGGTTCCGCCCTTCCCTGGGTCTCACTTGCTCGGTCTTTCTGAATGGGGGACTGGGGTGGACCCAAGGGCCTCAGAGGTCATTCCCAGCCCGACACTCCGGGGCTCTGAGCCCAGCGGGGAAGTGCCCCCCGCCAGCCCGCTACCTTCAGCGCCCACAGCTGCTGTTGGACCAGCCACACGCTCTCCTGGGGGTCCAGGTCGTCCACGGGGAAGGAGCCCACGTACTGCTTGGGGGCAGGGGTGTCCCCGCCCCCAGGGACCGACCCCACCCACCTGGGCAAACTTGGTGATGCACCGGGGCCGCTGAGGGGCAGGGCCGCAGTCGGAGGCCCTCCGGCCCCCGGCCCCCGCCCTCTGCATGGCCCCCAGGGCCGCCGGCTTCCTGCTCCGACGGAGAGGAGGCTGCAAAGGGCAGGGCAAGGAGGGCTGGCGCCCAAGGCTGGTGCCCAACCTCGGAGCACCGGTCAGAGGCTCCCCTCCGCGCGCTGGCATCCAGCAAGCCCTGCCTGGGCGCCTGCTGTGTGTGCCAGGCAGCGTCCTGGGCGCTGGGACACAGGGGACACACACCCCAGGCAACACGACAAAGTCCCCGCCTGCCCTTGTGGAGCCGTCATTCAATTAAGCCATCAGTAAGATATGGAATATGCCAGATGGTGATAAGGGGCTTTCCTGGTGGCTCAGCTGGTAAAGAATCCACCTGCAATGCGGGAGACCTGGGTTCGATCCCTGGGTTGGGAAGATCCCCTGGAGAAGGGCAAGGCTACCCACTCCAGTATTCTGGCCTGGAGAATCCCATGGACAGAGGAGCCCAGTGGGCTACAATCCGTGGGGTCACAGAGTCAGACACGACTGAGAGACTAACACAGATGGTGATAGAGCAGAGAAGAGGCCATGAAGGGCAGGCTGGGGGGTGACCACGGCAAAGAAGTTCTCGCTGAGGCGTGAGGTTGGAGGAACGGGGAGCGGACATGTAGCCAGCTTGTGCAGAGTGCCAGGGGAGGGGCACCCTGGAAGATACCACCCAAGAGGAGGCATGTGACAGCGGCCTAAACAGGGTCTGCGAAGGCCCCGAGGAGCTGGGCAGCTGGGGCCCCGAGGCAGAACTTACCAGAGCAGCACCCGGGATGGGGTCAGCCCAAACCGTCACACGAGGGGACTGAGGCGCTGCCCCGTGGGCAGCAGGGAGCCACAGCAGGTGCCAGGGCAGGACGCCTGGAGTCCGCGGGGCAGCGGCGGCCCCTGAACTGAGGTGACCCTGGCTCCTGTCCAGCCCGACCCCAGCCTCTGCCCGAAGCGTCCACCCCAGCCAGAGCCGGCACTGGTGCTGTGTCAGAGGGGAGGGAGCCCAGCCGGGCGCCGGTGTGCCCAGACCTCCCGGACCCCCCAGCAGAGAAGAGGGGGGACACTGCTCTCCAGACTGTCCTCAGGGGCAGGGAGGGCGCGTCCTTCCCCTCAGAGCTCAGGGCACAGCTGGTGCTCAGCGAATGCAGCATGAATGCATCCTGCCACCGCGGAGCCTGCACGTGGCAACTGGAGAAGCTGATGCCCTGCCTTGGAGAGCTGGGTCTCGGGAATGAAGACCCAGCGCGGCCACAACATAAATGAGAAAACGATAGCAACAACAACAAACGCATCACAAAACAGAATGACTGAATGTCTCTGCCTCAGTCCCGGGATTCAGCTCCCTCAGGCTTCCTCGGGGCCAATTTAGACACCCGCGTCCATCCCCCATCCCGGAGGGCTCCGTCTTACCAGGCTGCTTGTAAACCACTGCATTTGGGATCAGAGAGACCCGGGTCCAAATCCTGTGTGATTTTGCATAAGCTGCTTCACCTCTCTGAGCCCCCCATTTCCTCAACCCCAAACGTGGGATAACGTGTGGCACTGGTGAGACCTGAACGCAGGCACAGAACTGAGCACGATGCCCGCCAGGGTCAGAGCTGTGGCCAACAAGGACGGTCTCGTGCGGAATGTGGTTGTTGGCGTTCAGTCACTCAGGCATGTCCGACTCTCTGCGACCCCATGGACTGCAGCACACCAGGCCTCCCCGTCCATCACCAACTCCCAGAGTTTACTCAAACTCAGGTCCATCAAGTCGGTGATACCATCCAACCATCTCATCCTCTGTCGCCCCCTTCTCCTGCCCTCAGTCTTTCCCAGCATCAGGGTCTTTTCCAGCGAGTTGGCTCTCCGCGGCAGGGGGCCACAGTATGGGGGGACGGGGGACCCACTCAAGAGGGGATCTCAGGGACAGTGAGGTCTGATTACTGTCAGGGCCTCCTTGCAGCAGGCCGCACCTAAGAGGAAACCCCCAATCTAGGAGGGCAGGCGTGCCTGGGGCCACAATTCCTGCCAAGAGAGAGCCGGGATCAGACAAGGCGCCAGGTGCAAGGAGATGCGTGCACCGTGGGTGTGCTCTAGCACCTGCGGGAGTCCTGGACGGCGGGTTTGGGAGATCGCCTAGAGCCCAGGGATGGCCCCTACCCAAGCCTTGTGCGTCACCATCGGCCCCAGCAGCTGGCTCAGGCCAGCTGGGGGCATTAGCGGCATGAAAGGGCCTCAGTGAGCCTTTAAAGGAAGCCTGCAGGGCCCCCTCGAGGGCTTCCCGGCTCCGCCCTCCTGCTTTCCTGGGCCCTCCCACCTCTCTTCACATTTTGATCCTAATTATTTTTCACATCACGCCATTACGTACCATCATTTTACGTTTAAATACAGCAAGGTTAGGGTGTAACTGGCACAGAAGCTACGTGGCCCTGGTTCCAGGTACGGAGATGGGGCTTCCAGGGAACTGGACCTTCAACACATCCTGGGCTGGGATGCCTGGTGCCCGCAGGCAGGGGTAGGGGGGAACAAAGGAGGCAGAGACCAAAACCCAAACCAAATGGGGCAAAACGGAGAGAGGGAAGGAGCAGAGGATGAAAAGCATGACACACCTAGACAGCATATTAAAAAGCAGAGACATTACTTTGCCGACAAAGGTCCATACAGTCAAAGCTATGGTTTTTCCAGTAGTCATGTACGGATGTGAGAGTTGGACTACAAAGAAGCTAAGCGCCAAATAATTGATGCTTTCGAACTATGGTGTTGGAGAAGACTCTTGAGAGTCCCTTGGACAGCTAAGACACAACCAGTCCATCCTAAAGGAGATCAGTCCTGAATATTCACTGGAAGGACTGATGCTGAAGCTCCAATACTTTGGCCAAAAGACCCTGATGCTGGGAAAGATTGAAGGCGGGAGGAGAAGGGGATGACAGAGGATGAGATGGTTGGATGGCATCACTGACTCAGTGGACATGAATTTGAGCAAACTCCAGGAGATAGTGACGGACAGGGAAGCCTGGTGTGCCACAGTCCATGGGGTCACAAAGAGTAGGACCCGACTTAGTGACTTAAGAAGAAGTGAAACAGAGGAGTGAGAAGAAAGACAATGGCAAGAGAGATAAGGGAAAGATGGGAGGAGGGAGAGGTGGGGAGCAGGGAGCACATCTCACTCAGAGGGTGGGAGTGGAAGGAGGCACCGGGGCTGTGACCCCTCCCACAGCCAGGACAGCAGTGTCTGAGGCTGCAAACAGCCTCCTCCCCAGAGCCACAGCTTTCTTGGGGACACCCCGGGGTGTAGGCTGTGGGGGTGCAAGGGGGAGACCAGGCCACTGGGCCCTCTTATGGGTCCCACTTCACCCCCATATCACCTGATCCTTCTTCTCCCAACCTTGGAAAACTGGAAGTTTCTCCCTCCTAAGCCCGAGGGATACAGTACCTTTCAGCCCCAGACTGCCCAGGGGACCAGGGAGGGGAGAGGCTCACAGAAGACTGGAAACAGACCCGCTGACCTATTCCAGGCACAGACATCCACGGATCCCTTTGATCAGATCTGTTTTTCTTAGGTTTTTGCACAGGAGCCTGGCTCTGGGCCAGAAGGTCCTAAGGGGACACATTTGGAGCAAGGCTGGGGCCCTTCTCTTGCTCCTCTGACGTTTTCGAGGTGGCCACTTAAGAGACCGGGCCCGGATGGGTGGACTACCTCGAGGGGCACGGATGGAGCCCTCTGCTGCGCTGTACTACAGCCAAGTGGTGTCCTAAGGAGGGCCCACCTTCCAGCGTCACCGGAGACCCCTCAGCCTGCAGGCTCCGAGCTTAGCAAATGGTGGCTCACCTGCCCAAAGTCACACAGCAAAAGGGGAGCTGGGAACCCACTGTGGGTCTATAGGGCTCTTCCCCCCTCCCTGCCCCCCATCCCCGCTATGGCAGTGCCCGCCCCCAAGAAAGCAGGTGTCCACCTCCTGAGTTTGGTGGGTCCCAGCCTACCCAGGGGCAGGTGAGGCGAGGAAGGAACAGCAGCAGTGCTGGGGGTGGATGTGATCAGCTGCTTTCTCCCGCTGCCTGCCTCCCAGGCCAAACGGCCTGGAGCTGCCAGAGGCACTCCAGATTCGCCACACTGTCTTTGGCTCCGCAGCACAGAAGAGCCCCCCTATTCCCAGGACAGCCTCCTACCCCCAGGGCAACCCCCTGCCCCGGGCCAGCCCTGGCTGCCCTTGGCCACAGGGTGGGAGAGACTAAGGTCAAATCCGTGGATGGTGGGGTCCCCACGACGTTGACTGATGTCACCAACATCAGCCTCCATGTCCTCAACCAGAGAGTGGGCTTAATGATAGCAGCTGCCTCCTGGAGTTGTTCATCTATCTGTTCCTTCTGAGAATATTTCCAAGCGCTACGTTCCAGGTGAACAAAACAAAGTCTCAGCCCTCAGCAAGCTGGCCTGAGGAGGGGCAGGGGTGGATACTGGAAATCAACAACATTTCAGGGAAGCTGAAGCGACTTGGAGGAAAATACGGCAGAGTGAAGAGGGCCTGGGATCTGCGTGCGTCTCTGTCAGGGGGGGAGGTGCCATCAAATTTAGGCTCCCCGAGCAGACGACATGAAGAGGAAAGTGCTGTTTTCAGGATTCAAGTGGGGCCGAAACCAGATGTGCGGCGGTACAGAACGCTCCGCAGCGTGGGGAAGTATTCCTATCACTGTAATTCCCAGGGAGCACTGTCAGGGTTCCCGGCCGTCCCCGGGAGCGGAGAAAGTCTTGCCCTCCCCCCCGACCCCCCAACAGAGGGGCGAGCGAGGCAGGACGCTAGCCAACGGGATGGTGGAGGTGATGGACGGTGATGGTGGAAGTGACAGATGATGACGGTGATGGGCCAAAAGGAGACAGGCGACTCCCCATCCGACACGCGCCCCCCCACGCAACCACCCACGCACCTCAATCTCCACGCCCTGGAACCAAGTCCCGCTTCAGCCGATCCGCCAGTCCGAGCCCCCGCCCGACTCCCCGGACGCTCACTCACCGCGGGCCCGGAGTCCCGTCCCTGCCG